AAAGGTTGCCTACAAAGTCATTTCTTTTTGCAAATAGCCTCATGTTTATTATATGATTCACCTTTAGCACTATTAAGACATTTTATTTAATTAAATGAACTTGATCCCTTACTGTGCAGCTTGGGTGATGCATTTTTTAACATCTATACAGACTTGGAAGTTTATTTTTCCTCTTCCAACAACATTTATTGAAAATGAATTTGAGAAAATTACATTTAACCCCATATTTTTACAAATTCGTATTTCTTGACACTCTTTTCCCAGCACAGTGGCATGGAATGACCATCAAAAAGCCTTGCCACAGATGTGTAAGAAAGGCAATACTATCATGTCCCTTTAATAACTTGAGACACAGGCACAGAAGAAAATGTCTTTCGCAAGACAAGACTTCACACATCCTGAATATTGCAGCAAGGGACCACAATAATTTCATCATGAGCATGTGCAGCTAAGAGTGATAGAAATGGAAACAAAAACAGAATTCATTGTATTATCCCCTCTGTTAGCCCCTAATATAGAATCCCTACAAGAATTACTGTTGCCTTCTATAATTTAAAAAAAAACAGATTCAACTGATTCACAAATTTTAACATCAGAAGTCACAGCTGCCATATTGCTTTATCCTAGCCAACCTCTTATAGAGCCCAACACCTAATGTTTAAATTAAAGGCTATCTTCTAAAGTGGTAGCAACTCTTGATTTAATGACCTCAAGGTCTAGAAAATCCAACATCTCCCATCATGATTAGTTCCAAAGAGTCAGGAATTCCTCTGACCTTCCCTTTTGTTTTTCCCACTTCTGATACTCCCCACACGACTTCAATTAAGCTATGGTAATATAGCCATGTGGTAAAAATACCCCAGTGAAACAGCTATCCACAGTGTTCCACTTTTTAGTCGTTCAGACCTCTAAAGAGATTATTTAGAAGTAGACTCTAGGAGATTTTAAGCTCAGATGTGTTAGTGCAAATGTAAGTTTACGAATTACTGCGTAATAACATCATTTAGCTGTTAAAAGCTTTCACTGCACAGTGACTTGAACATTTACCCCGTCCAAATCATGAATGAAACTTGTTGCTCAGAATCCTTCATGAATGCAAATGCTGACAAAATGAGTTGATATGGCGAATCACACAAAAAGTCTCCAAAAGGGCCTGGGTCAGAAGCATTGACTCCTTTGGAAGAAGAACAAACTTTGGTGCGGTCTGGGTTGATGTGGTAAGTAGGGTCTAAATGCAAGTCAGATATATGCCAGAACTGCCCTGTTTTCAGAAAACAAAGATTAACAGAAACACATTATTTTCCACCAACCTGTTAAGAATCTCACTCCTTGCATAGCATGGAAAAAAAAGAAAATAATAATAATAAAAAAACTATTTATCAGCTGAAACCAAAGCTGCCCAGGAATCTCAGCCATCAATTCCTGAAGAAGGCCAGTCTTCCACTTAGCAACAACAACAAAAACAAAAAATACACAATGTTTCTGACTTTTTGGTTATAGCTTGCATGTATGAACTGAATGTGCGGGTGTCATTCTGAACCTGCTGCATTCTCTTTGAAATTTTGATTAGCTTCTGATCAGCCTGTCTGATAAATGGTGTATTCTTGGCAAAAGCCATTCAAAAAATCTGCTTAGAACAACTGCAAACAGAAGCACAGACTTAAGCTAGCCAGCAGAAAAAGATCCCAACATGAAGGTCGGTGGGGGCTGGAAAATGGAGCTCCTTATTTATGGAAATCCAGAAAGTAGAGGAGAAGACAAGGGCACTTCTCCATTGCACCACCTGAAAAGAGAGGGAGTTGCAATTTTGATTATTTTTCCAGACCTTCCCTAGCTGGAAGCTACTATAGAAGATGACAAGAAACAGCATGTGAGGAAAAGAGAGAGAAAAAAAAAAAAAAAAGCTCTTCTTATTCTATCCAGAGTGATACCAAAGAGATGCCAATCTGTGCCTGACCTCCCCAGGACATTTCAGGCTTGTGTGTGCTGATGCATTCTCAGCCACTGTTATTTAGTACTGAACAGAAAAAGAACTGTCAAGTACAGGAATATGCAGGACAAAATCAGCTGAGTTGGTATGAGACAAACAAGGAATTCCTCTTTGTCAGATTTGAAGCATCTGGAAGATGAACATGTGTATCTGGTGTATCTGTTCTGAAGCTGGGACGGATACAAATTGGTTTTCCCAAGGTCACATGCTCACTCTGCGGCAGGGCAGGCAACAACATGTGACTGGACTCTTGCTGGAATTTATTCCAGGAAGCCGAGCGCGATGGCTCCGCTCCCATCTGCGAACACGAGACATGGCAGCTCCCTGCAAGAACTGCACCGCCTCGGCTTCGGGACGCGCGTGAGTCAGCGCGGCTGAACATCCCAGCTGAAAATAACGCCCCGCGCGCACCTGCGCACGCTCCGCGCCGCAGCAGCCGCCCTGCGGCCTGGGCAGGCGGCGC